ACACCTTACCACTGGACCTTCTCCAATAGCTCCGGCATGGGGACATACCTCATACTTGTTTTTCACAGGAGGAATCTGACTTAGACCAGCAGAAGGGGTTATGTCATTGTAAGTCCCAGTGATAATAGAGAACCTGAAATTCAAATCTAGGATGCCTGATCCAGGGCATAGGGAATCTGCTCACTACCCCCCATTTTCTGCTGCATTGGCTTTGGGGCTCTAAAACACGTACCCACCCAGATGTCCTCTGGCCTTCTTGAGAGAACTGTTCCAACCCAAGATCTCCCATGACAGGAGACAAGGAAAATGCAGAAGAGGACAAAGCAAGGGCTTAGTGCAGGATCAGATGACTGGTGTTCTGAAAGCAATGGAGAATGTTAGTAGTGCAGGTTAAAATTAAAAATGTTCATTGCACAGGGCATAGCATTGAAAAAGTAATGACTCACCCAGCTGGCATGGGTCAGTGCTTGAGCTTCCACCCGTGCACAAACAGTTCCTTGGTTAGATTCCCAGTCAGGGGACATGCCTGGATTGCAGGCTCCATCTCCAGTAGGGTATGGAGGAAGCACTGATTAATGATTCCCTCTCATCATTGATGTTTCTTTTCTTTTTTAAGATAAGGGACTCAATTTTCTTTAATTTTTTATTGATTTCACAGAGGAAAAAGTCAGAAAGATAGAAACATCAATGATGAATCAGTGATAAGCTGCCTCCTGCAAGCCCCACCTGGGGATCTAGCAGGGGCCCATGCATGTGCCCAGAGTGGCAATGGAACTGTTTCTTCCTGGTTCATAGGTCGACTGAGCCCGCTCGCCTGCCTATCATTGTTTCTCTCTCTCTCTCCACCTCCCTTGGTTTATGAAATCAATAAAACTATTTTTAAAATCAATTAAATATATTTATTAATTTAGTAAAATAAATTAAAATATTTTTAAATATATATATTTTTTATGATCAGATTTTTTATTTTTATTTTTTAAAATTGTTTTATTGCTTAAAGTATTACATATGTCCCCTTTTTTCCCCCGCCCTTGATAATCCCTTGGACTCCCCTACCCCCTAGTGTCTTATGTCCATTGGTTATGCTTATA